TTTGCAAAAATGTGCCTACCCAGAAATTTGTGATCTGAGAAAATTGGCCTTGGAGTTCTTTTCAGATCTTATTTCTTTCATTGCTCATTCAATAAATATTTAACAAGGGCCTATTCTGAACTTGGCATTGTGCTCTTCTCAAGGGATACCGTGAAATCAAACCCATTCCCTGCCCTCAGGGAACGCAGTAGATGAGCTGGAGCAAACAACAGACTGATAGGACAGAGTAGGAATGCGCCTGTCGTTTCTGAGACTGTAAATCTTTATGGAAGTAGAAAGCCTCATCTTTTGCCCAAAGTGGCTGGTGGTTTCAAACGGCTGACCTTGACGGTAGCAGCCCAATCTGTACTCCACTATGCCACCAGTCACAAACTTACTGTCATGGAGTCCATTCTAACGCCTAGCCATTCTGCAGGACCAGGGTAGAACTGCTGCTGTGGGTTTCTGAGACTAACTCATCACAGGAGTAGAACGCCTCGTCTGTGCTCTGGGGAGCGGTTGGTGGTTTTGCACGGCTGACCTTGCGGATGGCAGCCTTACCCATAGCCGCTATGCCACCAGGGCACCCCTACCAGTCACAGTAGTGTTCAGTAATTCCCGGCAATGAGCAATGCGTGTGAGGGAGAAGTACTGGGTGCTCCCTAAGACACCCATGGAAGGACAAGGACAACCAAGTGATGACAAAAGGAGTGTTCCAGGCAGAGGGGTCTGTGGGGGGGTTCCTAAGGTCAGAAGACTCTTCACAGTTTCTTATTAACCTTGGGGCAAAGCCTGTTTAAAGTCTGCCTCTACACTGGAGATGCTACTCTTTGATTAAACCACCCCACTGTTGTCTCCCTTTTAAACCCGTTGGTCCCGTGCATAGGTTCGTAGCAAGTGGCGATGGTAGTTCTCTTTCCATCTGGCCCTGCTCAGTATGCTCATGGGGAGCAGGAAAGTTGTAGCAATGTTTCTGTTCCTTCGACTTCCACACCCCTGACTGGGATTTCCTTTTCCGTCTGTGTGAGTGGCTGTTTCTGGAAGTTTACATGCTGACAAGAGACTTCATCGTGCCAGATGCCTGGGGTAGGCCAACAGGCAAAATGATCATGTGTCCAAAGGAAGGGGCACAAGGAGATTGAAAGATTTCTCCTACATTTGAAGTTAGAAGCAAAGGGTTGAGTAATGTCAAGCCTCTGGGAAAAGAATATCATCACCATTTACATTTGGCCTTTCAACTTTTCAAAGGCTTCATACCCATTGCTGCTGGTTTTCATCCTTGCCACCTTCCTGATTGGCTGACGAGACCAATGTCCCCATTGTCTAGAGGAAGAGAAGTTAAAACACCCTAAGCCAGTGGCTTTCAAGTCAAGACCCCTTTGTGGGGTCGAACGACTCATTCAAAGGGGTTGCCTAAGACCATTGGAAAACAGATTTCCCTCGGTCTTAGGAACCTAGACACAGCTCCTCTATCCGTCTCCAGGCGGGTCCTCCCACATGCAGATATGCCCACAGATGAGTACTGAAGTGAAGACTTCCCCATGCTACACCATGCTTCAAGACAAAATTTCATTTATTTGTAATTAGAAATAAATATTTCACAATATACTTACATATTGTTTTTGTGATTCATCACTATAATTATGTTCAATTTATAACAATGAAAATATATCCTGCGTATCAGATATTTGCCTGGCAATTCATAACAGTAGCAAAATTAGTGATGAAGTAGCACTGAAAATAATTTGATGGTTGGAGGTCACCACACATGAGGAACTGTATGAAAGGGTCGCGGCATGAAGAAGGTGGAGAAGCACCGCCCTGAGCCCTGTGCACACTGGTAGCAGAACGGAAAGTGAAAGCCCACCTTTGTCAGCCCAAGGCCAGTTAAAAAAGCTTGGGGAGGCAATGAAGAATGTAATCAATACCATTGATCTGTGCCTATAAACACGTTGAAATGGGCGGCTGTCTTATTCTATATAAAGAGCCCTGGTGGTGCAAAGGTTAAGCACTCACTCGGCTGTGAACCAAAAGGTCGGCTGTTTGAGCCCACCAGCTGCTTGGTGGAAGAAAAGACCCGGTGATCTACTCCCAGAAGCTACAGCCGAGAACACTCTATGAGGCAGCTCTACTCGGTCACATCTGCTCCCCATGTGTTGGAAATGACTAGATAGCACACAACAACAACA